GTATATCCTACGTGGTCATCCCTCCCCTAGCCCTAGCCCTAGCCCTAGCCCTAGCCCTAGCCCTAGCCCTAGCCCTGGCCCTAGCCCTAGCCCTAGCCCTAGCCCTAGCCCTAGCCCTAGCCCTAGCCCTAGCCCTAGCCCTAGCCCTAGCCCTAGCCCTAGCCCTAGCCCTAGCCCTAGCCCTAGCCCTAGCCCTAGCCCTAGCCCTAGCCCTAGCCCTAGCCCTAGCCCTAGCCCTAGCCCTAGCCCTAGCCCTAGCCCTAGCCCTAGCCCTAGCCCTAGCCCTCTTATACCAACCCTAATCATAACACTAGCCCTAAACACCTGACCTCTTGGCAGATAACCTTCTTGGGTACTGAGAACACCCTTGATTGAAATCCAGCGGCATGAAATATTCTTGCCTTTTCCTTCCTTAGCAAGCAATCCGTGTCAGATCCCTCTTTTGACCATTCATCATCATGTTTCAGAGTGTTCAGAAACAAGCCAAGTTCACGTATGAACCACTGTGGCTGCCAGACAAAGTTTTCGAAGACCATACCTGTGACGTCATCCATTTCAACGGAAACCTTGTCCACTGCAAGACAGAGGAAGGAGCCGAGAGTGTGAAGGTTTGGCGATTCAACCGCTCTTCGTTTTTATATAACATTAGATGGCTTTAAACAATGTTTAGAGCTAGATGTTCAAGGGGTAGGTATAACACGTTGTTCAGTGTGATGTAGCTGGCTGCCGCCGCGCCACGTGCCTGCAAAGCTGGTGTGTTACGCTAAAGGCGGTTATACCGGCTATACAGACACAGATACAGGTACAGGTACAGGTACAGAGCATACGTATTGATAAAGCACGTGTCAAATGTGACCAAATGAAGTAAAGAAAATGGTTGCAGTAGTAGACAAGTGGCAACTGTGATATACACAAATAGACAGGAATAGCAAAGTTCTTTCTTCATAATATATAAGTCTTCAGCTATAGTTCAGTCTCAGCATTGCATTTCTGCGCCTCTGTTCTTTACATGTACAACAAGGGCCTTGTCTAGTACAGTAAATGGTTGTGAATAAATAAATTTGTTTCCAGTTGACCTTTGTTTAATTGGCCTTTTACCATTTGTTATAATGTTGGTATATCATTTTCGTTGGGGTTATCCACCAGGAATCTTTGAAAAACTTGGTTTTTGCATGTCCTGTTTAGATAAAAAAAAAAACAAATGAACAAGGTATTTTTTGCCTATTGCAGAGGTTTGCAGACCGGTTCCCAGACCTGAACCGTGTGGAGTTGACTATTGGCGAGCTGGAGAAGGTTGACGCTGGTCTGACCTGCTGTTCCGTCCTGCTGTAAAGGCACCCATTGCAGTTTTTAGGGCTTGGAAACCAGATTTTTCTAGTCACTTATCTACATACTAAGTTGAAACAACATTATCCCAATGTACATCAACATTCATGGAGCAAAAATTCTGATGAAAAGCGGTTACTGGAAGGACCTGGGTTGATTTTCAGGGTACCACTCAGACAATAAAGTATTAATCTTTAGGCTTGTTTCTGCAGTTTTAAATGCCTCAAGTATGAAAGGTATTGAATGTGTAAAGGTACAATAAGACAATCT